ACTGCTACTGCTACTTGTGCAGAAGCTAACGTTGTTTATTTCGCTTGCCATACTCTTTCATTTACTTATTTTTTCCTTCTCTTTATATTGTTGCCTACTTTTTTTCTATTTTTCCTGCCAGCAGCTGTCGTGAGTTTTGGCTTAAGCAAGACGACGTGCCGCTGAAATAATTAAGTTGCCAATGTTCTGGGGCAGTTGAGTTGGCAGCGGCAGCTTCAAGTTGGCGGCTTTGCACAAAACAAGAAGGCAACAACGTCAGCCTCCAACTGAAGCAGCAGGCGGTGGCTTAACAACGCCGCACCATGGGTTGCAACATATCGCTAGAAATGGCACAAAAAATGGCAATAGGCAACATGGACTAAGCTGCTTTTAAAGCATAGACAATTTCACTACAGAAGTTAAAGAAAAATGCATGTAAATACTTGTAGATTATGGGAAATATCGGAAATTGGAGAGCTTTTAAAAATTAAAGCTTATTTTGCATACATATTATTGAAATAAAATATGTTTAGGATGTTTGTGATATTGATATTATAGTATACATGTATGTTGTGAATTGAAATCAGCTTTTTTAAATCATATTTAAATATTCAACTATAATTCATATAGTTTGTATACTACAAATACTATTTAAAAGCTAATAAGCACGTAGAATAGATGGAAATACAGGATACCTAACATATATTAATTAATGTTATTTCAGGCAAAGTTGTTAGAGTTGCTTCTAAAATCTGAAACAATTTGGGAAATGTTTGATTGGAGCCACAACCTATTTTTCTCATAGGCTTAAACAAAGCATAAAAGGTCTGACGAGTGTGTCTGTTTGGTATTTCTTTTGGCCGTTCTTCTGTTTGTTTCTAAAAACTAGTTCTGCCGACTAACCAAAATAGAGTTCATAAAATGTATTACTCTCATATACTTGTTATAATTTCATGCTTGTTTTCAGACTAAAGAAATAGTTTCTGACCTATTTTTAAACTTCTTCTATGTATGGGTTTTCTTTCGTACGGAGGTTGTTATTAATTTTTCTTCTTGTTTATTTGAATTTTACTTGTTTAATTGGAGTTGCTGCCCAGTTTCCATTTGCTTACAAGTTGCCATATTCTCTATTTTTATCAGTTTTCTTTCGTCTTGTACTCCTTAATCTAAACAGATGATAAGCAGGTCTTGTCTGCTTTATTTCACTTATTTACGACTTTTAGGCTGAAAATATTGTCGTGACTTCGCCATCGATAAAGAGATTAGACAAAATTATTGATAGGCACACAATATAATTATCTTAGTGTAAGCTGGTGCCTTTGCATTCATCTACAGCCCTACTTGCTGCCTTGGTTTCACTAAAGGCCGTTTGGTTGTAACCAAAAACTAAGCTTCGCTTAGGGCCAAAAATGGAAATTTAAGAAGGAACATATACCAGCTTTTGATTTAAGAATTATTCTTTATACATATAGTTTTTTAGGTTTTGGGAAATACAACTAAAAGGTTACAAAGATTTATAAATACATGGAATGCAGCTGTTAAAGGCATCTTTAAACTAATGTCTACATATACATATAACGAATTACTATGACTGCTAAAATATTTAACAACCATTTTATTCAATCACAACATAATCACAAATGCCTGTATTAAATAAATAAAATGTAGATAAATGCCCACGTTTAAGTAATAAAAAAAACAGTGAGAAAAATCCCCATTTAATGCTTTCATCTGTAACTTTCTCTAATGCCACATGATCAAGTGGCATTTTGAAAATTCATAGAAGTTGGCAATTTGTTTTTATATTGACAAAATGCTCAGAGTGTTGAAGCTGGCCTTGCATTTAAACTCCAATTAACTAAGAGACTTTCTCACACAAATTTCGTAAATATATTGAAGCTGAATAAAACGGTAAACTCAATATTTGAATTTTGCCTCTCACTGGGCCGGGAGCAACGAAATTTGTGTGTTGAGGAAAAGTGCTCGAATGCAGCATTCCAAAGCATAATTTAATTTTGCTAATGTGTGCATGCATACACACACACATACACACACCCACACACACATAACATAAAGAGATATTTCTGCATTTATATGTTATGCCTTTGCCATTGCCTGCCTGGATGATCGATGCTTGTTAAACGTTCAAATCATTATCCTCATGTGCAATAATCATTTAGCTTGTGCATTCATCAAGGAAATTTTGATTGCCTCGTTAGTTTTCTGTTGCTGTTGCTGCAGCAGCTTTTTGTTGTTTTTATTGTGTGCAAATGATTTGAAAGAGGGTTGCCTTCCAATGGCCGACGTGACAGATTTTGTGGCAACTTAAAAACTTGTGCCTGACTTTTGTTTTACCAATTGCAGCTACGTGCCACAACACTTGCATTTTGCTCTCGTTCTTGTTGCTATTGTTGTAGCTGCTGTTGAATTTCTGAGCATTATTGGCCAGCAAGTGGTCAAGCATCCTTGGCCAGTGATCGAAATATTTGTGTGTGTTTGTTTGTGCAGTTTAGTTACCAGAGTAGGTTTCAACTTGTAATTCAGATGTGGTGCTCAGTGGGTTAACGCCTTACTTTTTGATTACATTAAAGCTTATTTTTTGTAACAAAAAGGCTTACAAGTTGATAATCCATGTTCGAACAGGGATGTGGCGATGCGGACAACACACGAATGAGCAAACTTTATTTGTTTTATTTAATTCTTTGAACAAAAACATTTCTATAATACCAATACTAGAATTGCTTTATACTCGTACTTAAATAAAGATAACTGAAGCTTATTCCTTGAGTTTTCTTTTCATTTAAATATTTTGGATAAAAAACCGTACTACAAAAGATATGACTCTAAAGTAATAGAAGGGCTAATTAATCATGGATGAGAAAAAGAAAAGCGTCTAAAAAATAAGTAAACTAATTTTATGTAAGCTAACAAGTCCAAGCTGTTCTTTGCTTCAGAATATCACTCGATGTGTATCTTTTCTTCAGGTTATAAGCTGAAGCTTGTAAGAGCCATTAAACCTATCCATGGGGAGCCTCTATCATGAGTAATTTAATTTTGAGCTTCAATTTAGCTTGAATTTTGCTATCACTACTCCATGCACAAGAGTTTCTAGTTGTGGCTCGCCTGCTTCCAAAATGCAATAAAAAAGTTGATAAAATGCCTTCGGCTGTATACATTTAAATTTGTCAGAAGTGTAACTACTTGTACTTTTCGCTTACTATGTATGTATCTTCACTGGTTTGAACACATTCATTTGTGCAATTTCAATTCATTTCCCACAAAAAGCGCAAAATTCATTTAAATTAATCTGAAAATGCATTGCCAAGTGTTTCAATTTCAAGCAATCTGCCGACAAAATAAATTCCAAGCCAGTTTATTCATTTAATTTTTGACAGGCAACATTTTCCAGCAAAATTCTCTGCTCTTATATTTCTTTTTAAAAATCATAATATGCGTCCCACATTATGCTTTAAATTCTGTTCATCAACTGTAGCTGAAATTGTTATAAGCCCAACAAGTCACTGGCAAATGCTGTGAGAAAAACAATTGCTTAGTGCATTACACATACGCACCGTATGGCTGTGGCTGGAGTTTGTAAAGCGAGGAGGGGATTCGTGGAGGAAATATAGTAAACTTGTGCACAACATGTCGAACAATTCAGCATGTTGCACATGTTGCAAAGCCCACACACACACACAAAAGCATATGGAACATTTTAAAATATTACGCATACGCATGGGAAATGTGTAAGACCACGGCAAGCCTTTGGAATTGAAAGTTTTTTGGGAAAACTGCTGCTATTTGTGCAACTTTTTCCAGCGATAGGGAAGGGGTTGGGGTAGGGGTAGGGGTAGGGTTTTGTGCGCGTGTTGCAAAGCTATGCGACTAAAATTCCTTGGCTTGCCGTCTGCCATGCATATTGCTAAGGAACTCAATTTTATCTGCCATTTTGCGAGTGACACAGCATAAGGCTTTGGCATTAGACTTGGCTTTGACTCTCGCTTTGAGTTGACAGTGCGTAGTGACATGTCTTTTGATTATGTTAAAGTGATTGGCATGAGTGGATAGGTGACGACAGCACTCACAGAAGTGTCTTTATTAAAATGAGAAAGTTTTCCAACCAAGTGCGTGCAATGCGTGTGATGAGCTTTTATGAGCGTTCTCATTTCGCAAATGCCCCAAAAGAAAAAAACCGAACATTTTTAAGGCACTTGGAGAGAATTTGCCAAAAGGCCAAAACTCAATATGTGTTTGCAATTTGACTTTCAAATTGAAGAGCACCACACAAAACACACAATGGGAAGCAGCAAAAATGTCTGTTTGACTACCATTACGAGCAGTTTAGACAAGAAAGACCAAAAGTTGCAATGACATATGAAAGTTGCACATCAGCAGTACGGCAATCGGACAGACAGACAAACTAAGAAGGGAAAGGGATGAGCATAGCTTATATCTTCTAAGTACACTTTCAGAAAAGCTCTCGTTAAATTTATCGTTTGTTTTATACAATTTAAAATAGATCATTTCGAAATAAAGTTCAATGCAATTATTATTTGAAACATACTCTCACAATAAGAAAACAAAATAAAAACGCATTAATACCAAAGGGAGAAATTTTCGAAAATATTCTTTCTATATTTGTTTATTTTACTCCCCAAACTGTTTATAGTTCCTTTTTTTTGTTTAATTTATATTTTTCACAATTCCTCATTACTTTGAAATTGAATTGTCTATACGTATCTTGTCTTGCACGTTGTGGAACAGAAAGCCTTATCTTTATAAAGCAATGAAATTTAAATCTACATGCAATACAATTGTACATTTAATAATAATATTAAACATCCTTTTTGATTGAAACTTAGAGAGGAAATAGCGCTTTTTCTTGCGATTCTAAATTCTTACTTCGTTATCCATTATAATTATTGCATTATTTAATATAGAATTTTGAACAGAACATTACAAATTGTAGTTAAATGAAAAATTGTTTAGCTTTAAAAGTCATTGAATTTGGTGAAAAATCTATATTGAAAAAAAAAACCTTTGCTTTTAAATTGATAACATTTTATACTTTCGCCTATCTTATATCTTTCGGTCAGTAATTAAAGGTGAGTTCTACAGTAGTATGGTATATGCATAATGTTTAATATACGTTCAATAATTTATTTAGTTTAAGTTTAAGTTGAAGCTTAGGCGAGCTTGGTAGCTTGCCTTTTAACACAAGTTCAATGGAAGAGCAAACAAGACCATCCCAGCTACAAGAATCTAAAAAATTCGCAGTTTTCAGATCGACTCTTTTTACATTCTTTAAGAAATAATTTCCCTAACACTGCAAATACGAGCCACTTCTAATTTAAGGCAGTTCTCATCAAATTATTGGCATTTAATTTACATAATTTAAGAGCATCATCAGCTTACAATTTCATGCTAAACCAATTATTTAAGTAGACATTCTTTTCAAACAATTTTCAAATCAGTCAAAGCTCTTGACCTTAATTCCATTACCCATTACCCATTTAATCTGCCTATTTGCTGATCGCATTCATTTGAAGTCCTTCGCTGGACTGTTAAAGCTGGAAAATGTGCAAACAAAAGGTAATAAGCAAGAAATGCAAAATTTTGAAGCGCCTTTTAACTTACTTTTAAGCAGCTTTTCTCCGAGTGCAGTGTGTAAGTAGAAGCGACGCATGTAAATTGTGGCTAGGAGCTAACGAAATGAATGCAAAATCAATCGATAGTTGGTAGTAAAGCAGCATGGCTGTGGCGTGGCCACATTCGCCATCTCCATCTCCATAGCCATTGCATGAGCAGACATTTTTATGCTTCGTTGGGTTAAAGCGAAAAGCAATTTTGTCTGCTACCTCAAGTTGCATGGGTCGGGGACTAGGCCAAAACGATTTGCAAATTTTTTTTAGCCAACGCGTCACTGAATTTTGCTCCATGCCCATGCAGAAGGGGGGACCAGTGAGCCGACCAGTGAGGCATATCCAGTCAACCAACACAAAAAACAGACATTAAACAAAAAACTAAAAAAAAAGAAAAAACGATGGAAAACACACACACACTTGTGCAAGCGCTGGCAAATTTTCAATTTTTAAGTCAATCAGTTAGAAAAAAATTGCTGCAGCACCGCCTGCTGCCTGGCTCGGTGGCCGGCTGGCCGGCTGGCCCACTGGCGTACGTGATTTTAAAAGTTTTCCGCGAAAATTAAGCGATTCTGCTCGCGCATTAAGTGAAAGTTTCGTCAGCTTAGCCTTGCAAATTCCGCAGGCATTTAAAACTTTTATTTCTTTTTTGTTTTTTGGTTGCTGTTCTCTCCACTTTCTGACCTATTTTCAGAGCAGATGAATGCGCATTCAACAGATGTGGGACTGGATGTGCAGCTGAAGCTCCAGCACTTGCAAATGAACCATGTACGAATCCGTGAGCAGCTAACGCGTCTGATGCGAAAACGTCACGACGCGCTGATGGCCCAATTGGATTATCAAAGGCGTATCTATGAGGGTAAAGCCGAAATGGAGCAGCGCCTGCAATTACTGCAGTTGAAATATGGCAGAAAGTGGCTGCAAATATGGCACAAGTGAGGAATGGAATGGCGCTCGAATCAATTCGAAATGAATTTTAATGAGTTAGCAACTTAAAAAGGCTTTGGGTTGATTAAAAAAATAAATTATAAAGCAATCGATTTTAAATTCATTCGATTTGATATTTAATTGCAAAATAATAGAAGAAGTAAAAGTATTTATTTACATAACCTCAATTGGATCCAGCCGCTCCATGATACGGTTACGGAATACAGCTGGTTTGTCCGCGGCCACACAATGCATCTTGCATCATGACCTAAATCTAAAGACCATAGAATTCCAGATCAGCATTCACACCCATCGGTACAAACGGATGATTGAGAAATCACTGCAGCAGACTGGCCAGAACCCTTCCAGACGAAAGTCCCATCATCCGTTTTAAGAGCGGCCAACCGGCGTTAAGTCTATGTCTAAATGTATTCCCATTGTTGTTCAATGGGTGTAATTGTAAACTTCGTTAAGTGTGGCTTGATGTAAAACTAAAATAGTCAAAACCGCAAGCTGATTTACAACAAAATAATTATTAAAATAACATCGGTCTCTATTAGCATAGTATAACTAATTAATAAAAGAAAATAATAAATTGAAAATAAATAGTAATGGATATACATACTATAGATAGTAAACAGTATTATTTCATGTCTTAACTCCTCGCCATCATTTAAACCGAACATATTTCAAGTGGTTTATAAAAATTATAAGTATTTTTCAATTTCTTGATAACCAATTTCTATTCAATTTTTTTGGTTATCAACTGATCACAAATAAACTAGTATACACATTTAACCTTTGGGTATAGGGTATAAAAATGTCTACTGTATGAAAACTGAACCTTTTTGTATTTTTATTTGTTGAGCAGAAAACAATTGTAACTCTTTTCTGGACAAATGCTTGTGCTTTCTTTTCTATTGTGAGAATACAAGTATAAACAGCAAAAACAATTGTGGATTGTGTTCAGCAGCCACAAGACTTTACATGAAGTATAATGAAACTGGAAGTATTTTTTCATCATACATAGCAATAGAACAAAAGAAAGAAACCTGGTTTTAATTCCATTTTTGTTTTTCAAATTGAATTTATGATATGTATTTGTCGCTTTTAGTGTTTTATTCCACAACTTAATTCCATCTCTAGTTGTGCTTTGGCAAGTATCCTGATAATGCAGCTCCATTTTTGAAGCAAGTTCTAACGGGGATCTTTCAAGGGGAGTCCCAAATATTCAGAAGAAAGACAAGTATTTGTTAGGTAAAATATCGTAATATTTGGTAACATCGCCTGATAATTTCATGCTCTTATGCTTGATTGCTCACACATACTCATATAAACTACAAGTAATTCAGCCACTGGCCATTAGAATTTAGGCTACGCTTCTAACTAACAACGCAATCCATGCAAATCGACCACTCCTACGATTATGCCCTAATGGGCGCATTAACATTTCTGTTTCGCAACAATTTACAGTCAGCTTAAGTTGCTTGCCACTTACATGCTTGTCGGTGAGGGAGGGAACGGGACGCATGTGGTGATTATGTATATGTGTCCATGTCTGCGTCTATATCTTTATCTTCGAAAGTGGCTCGAAAGGCGCTCATTGCCTCAAGCACACTTGCACAGCCTGTAAATGACACGTAGCGTGTAATCATTAAGTCCCTACAAAAGGCTACAGACACAAAGAGGGTCCTAACCCTGCCCATCCTGTCGCTGGAATACATAAGTGGACCATAAACGGCAACAAATGCAAATGAAATTATTGTCAGTGCAGCGAAAGGGACATCAGCTGCGGGTGGCTGGATGGCTGAATGGCTGGGATACTTGGATCCTTGTCGCTACCACTGCTTCACTCCACTCTTCGGGTATTGCTTAAACGAGTTACAGGCTCAGTCTCTGCTACATTTACAGATACAGTTCAGCACATGCGTCGCCATCGGCCATTGGCAAAAGTGTTTGCATATGCAAACGCACACGTTCGCATAAAGCAGACGTCAACACCACGAAACCCAATTGCAAGTCCAGTACTTGCGGCTAGAGATGGACGCACCCGCACAAAACCGTAAAATACATAAACTTATAAAATAGCCAGACAGGTGTGTGCATTGGTGTTCTACTGGTTATGCACAGATAACTGCTTCCAGTAAAGAACATTTTCCAACTTATAGCTCGGAAGGGGCTCAGATGTTCAGCCACCTTTGGAGATGGTAAATGTAAGATAATGTCACGATATATTGCATTTATGTTCTTGTCTGTCTTTTTTTTTGTTCCTGTCCGAAGCTTACCTTTTGCGGAAAGAAACGAGAATGCTTTGAAGCAGTTTGGATTGAATTCAAATTTAAGTCTGAGACTAGGATGATAACGAATAAGAAGGTACAGAGACAGACATTCATTAATTTAAACGTTCATACCTAAACATAAATTTGATTTATTTATTAACGCGAAATTGGGGAATTTCTAAGGACGAAAGAGTAATAAATATGTGCACTAAAAGCGTGCTCCCTAATTTTTTTATTATTATTATTATTATATGTTTCAATCATTTATGTTTTCCTTGTTTTATCGATTTGGAAAACAAGGCCTTGAAAATATTGCTTCATAACGATCTGCAATTTTTTTATTTTTGAAATTTTTGTTGTTTTCTAATACTTTCAAGATCTGAGTTAACTGAAAATCGATATGTGTCATGTCTGGCTTCTTAGTTCTAAGTATTTTGTTTTAAAAATCAGCTAAAGATATTTAATAGTCTCGCATAAAGTCTTAGTCAATAAAAGATTTACAAGTATGGTATTATTTAGTTTAAATTTTTAAGTTTTTCAATAGAAGCTAATTGCAATTACAAACATATTATACTTTAAAGAACTTGTTTCTTATTGCAAATGGACATTGAAATGACGTGCCTGTTAAAAGTTTGACTTTCAATCACGCGCCCATCACCATTGATCCACATAACTTTGCATATGTACACATGTCAATATATATGCATGGATATATAGCATACATGTATGGCTGCACATAAAGCCAATGGCTGGTGCGACTCCACTGCATTTCAACGATATAAATATTTATATAAGTTAATCGGTTTATGTTGCACGAGTAATTGAATTGCACGCACGTATCGGAGGTAGCTGTGCTCGTATTTGCAGTATCACGTGACACGCGCTTTCGTGGTAACTTAAATTTCGAGGCCATGTAGCACGCAATTGCAGCCAAATTAGGCAAAAAGTGTTGTCAAAATATATTTCTATGAACTGGCGCGTTGTCGTGAGCCAAATGAGCGGAAGTGCCGAGCAGTTGTCGCTGCAGTTGTTGTTGTAGTTGTTTGTTGTCGTTGCCGGTTCTATGGCACTTCCGCTTTGTTGCACATTAATTGCAATTAAATTTGATATTATTACCGTTTTGTGCAAGCACTTGCCTCTCTCTCGCTCTGTGCAAAAATTTTAACATGGCTTGCCTCTATTTTTCCGCTCTCCGCCCTCCTCCCCTACCTTCTTGCTTGGCTCACTGCATAATTAAAGCTGTTTGTTTTTTGTGTGCTGTCGACGATGCCGTCACAGCCTGGCCACCACTTCCTGGCTCTGTGCGTTGGCGTTGACGTTGACGTTGCGTTGACGTCGACGTCGACATCTGCGCAGTCGTTAACGTTGTTGTTTTCAATTAACTGTGCGTCTAACTAAATGGCAAGTAAATTAATGTTTATAGTGCATAAATATACATTTTATGTGCGCATCGTTTTAACGCATAGACGAGTATGTGAGTGTGTCTGTGTAGTATATATGTGTGCACCATTTGGCGCCATTTTGTTGCAATTTTGCCCGCTCGCTCGCTTAACTTTTTGATGGTGCATTGCGCGTGGTGGCATGCAAATTTTTAATGAGTAGGTCGAGCCATGATTTATTGATAAGTGTGTACAAGCCTGACAGCCAGCTGGGCTAGCCAGACGTTTTAAGTGCATTAAATTAATTAAAATCTTTAAAAGAACTCACAAGTGGAGCAATATAAATGCGTTACTTAATTTCTACTTATACAAGTAAGCTAAATCTTGTGTGTTCCTGATTTATTTATTTAATGAAGAGATGCAGTTTCTGCTTGGAAAATTTTATTTATTGTGTAACAACTATTGTAAATGTTGGCCATTTAGTAAATAATGTAACTTCTATTATACTTGAAGTCGATTACTAATTTGTTTGATTTAGAAGCTTAATTGTAATTGTGTTAATTATGTTTTATTAGTTTTAATTCGTTTGCCCGAGGTTAACATTTTGTGAAAAAAATTAGAGCGCTTTGAAGCAACTTAGGCAATGGATTCAATTCATATAAACGGATTAAATTCTTAAATTCTTAAATTATACACAAAGCACATCTGACTTGGCTGCTATTCGATTCAAATACAAAAAAGTATTTATATACATTTTCTTTACAACCATTTAAAGCCGTTTATAACCAAATATCAGATTATATCCTTGTTTAAAAATAACGTTTGCTTTGTATTTAAATATTTTATTATTACTAATCTTTGATTACTATTACTTGATTTTTATTTGTTTTTCTTTTATCATATTGTGGAAGCCAGCTATTTGTTATATGCAAAAACTATAAACGTAGCTCCATGAATTCCATTTGGCTCAAAAAATAAACTTAGAACGGTTTTTGAAACATTAACAAGTCTATAGCAATTATTATAAATACGGAGAAGATATTGTAATGTATTGACAAAAGAAAATATTGATAAGTTGAAACATTTAATATTAAGACACATATTTCCATGTCATTGCGTGATACCCGCACATGCCAAGAAGAAGGGCATCAAGGTAAACGACAGATGCAGGAAATGTGGGCATCATTTTCACATAATATTCTTTTTAACTGTCTTCTTTCTTACTGAAGAAGTTGACAAAGTTAACAGATGTCGGTTTTGAAGCAAAGCTATATGCTGACGGATTATGAAGTCGCTCTCCAAGCTTATATTTAATACCCAGAAACAATAAGGAAAAACTTGTATCTGTGCAGAGTTACTAACACAATGTACTGAATCAAATTCCACTAATACTAAGTTCGAATATTCTTGTTTTGTTAAATGATAAACATTTTAAAGAAAATATCAAATTTCCACAGAAATA